CGCGATTGGTCTAGTCCAAATTTTAGGCGGAGCTAGAAAAGGTTCTCACGTGTTTATTCCAGCCGCAACAGAAAATCGGGGCTCGAACCTTCGAAAATTTTACGTCAAACTCCAAATCGGATCTGGACGCGTCCGAGAAACATAAAGTCTAATCATTTTCATCGATTCATTCATTTCCATAATTTCCACGAAAAAAAGGAAGTGTTAGTTAGTGTCCGTTAGACTTTCAACTGACCCCATTAGCAATGTCATCGAATAACCAATCGGAGTCCCGAACCCTACGCTCCGGCAGAACAATAATAACATCAGAAGCACAGACACATGTATTCAGCACAGAAGAAAATGATCAAGAAGCTTCATCAGCTCACCACGACAAACTACAAGTACTATTCGCGAATCATTCCACAACTCCGACGGTCATGCAACAGTCCATGGCGGCAGATGCCGGACTTTTGCCTCCGGCAGCAGACGAATATCACTTGACGACGACCGATCATCAGCATCCCTCGAACCTCTGTTCATTCAATAATCACCGACAATTTACGGACGAAGAATCGACAACACTGGTCTCGCCTCAAAATAATACAGTGCAACAACCCACTAACATTATGCGTTCTTCAATAGAACAACCAGACCCTGTAGCTGGACTTTCTCAGATGGCCGATATTGTTCAGATACAACGTAGGCAAGAACAGCAATATTTAAAACATCTGACAAATATTGAACGATTAAATACATCGAATGTTGATCAGTGGCAATCAAATATAGAATTCGTTTTTCGATTAAACAACATTCACCCCCGAGATTGGGTGGCACACTCACTGAGCCGCGTCAACGACGCTGTCGCGCAGTGGTATAAACGGATCGAACAACCAATTGGCAACGACCGGGATACGTTCATTCGGAATGTGCGACATGCAATCCGCCCGCCGCCGTCTCTATCACAAGAATCAATTCCCCTCAATGCATTACCGCTACTGGATCCGCTCGAACCATGGCCTTCAATTGCTCCAAAGACATCGACACGTCAATGGCCTACAGACATCAACAAGAACCTACTCGGTCTTGATCATTTAATAGCCAAAAAAAGTTCATATTCACCACCCGACCGCTATATGGAACAACTACTGATCAAAGAAAAAGTGAACAATATGCCGAGATTTTCAGGCAACGCAAACGATGATGTCGACGAATGGCTGAAAAAAATTCACAGCACCTTTGCGTCGACAAAAGCAAACACACACCAAAAATTCGAATTGATCAATAAATGTTTTTTAGGGGAAGCCGAAAACTGGTACAAAAACAGAAGTCATAGATATGCCTCCTGGGCCGACTTTGAATCGGCATTTAGAGAACGATTTACCCCAATAATGGCAGTAACTCAAAAGTTTGAGCGACTCACCAATCGAATACAAGCTATCCACGAAAATGTTCAGCATTACGTCGACGACATGGAAAACTTGATGTATGAATACAATCCGCGCATGGCTGAATCTGAGCGCTTAGTGTATTTGAAAAACGGTTTGAAACAATCACTGAAAATAAAAGTTTTTGAAGGTGAGCCAATAACGGTGCCAGACCTGATTCGAATTGTGAAAAAGGCCGAAGAAATTCAACGGATAACCGATGACCATCCTAATGAGGATGATACGGCAACAACAGCAGGTATTCAAAAACATGTCTCATTCACTCCAGAGGAAAGAAGAACAAGTCGAACGCCATCCCCGAATTGGCAAGCATCACCATATCGTCACCCCCATCACCCACAACGACGCGATAAGGTGCAAACTTGTGTTCATTGTGGAGGACGAGGACACCAGGTTGACGAATGTTGGTCAGTAGTTGGTTATCCGGCATCATCGAACGGGAATCGCGCAGGCGTCGGTTATCGCCGCAATAATACAAATTTTCAAAATGACTATCAACAACAAAATCGATCAATGAATTCATATTTACGTGAACAAGATTGGAACGAAGATCAACAATTATATCATAGCTCTCCGCAACAACATGCCACCGACAATCACAACAACAGTCGACGACGCCTAACCACACCACGACATGTTAATCGGCCAGGCAGCCAGGAACAAAAAAACTAATCAAGGGGTCACAAGATGATGGTTGTGCCCCCGAAAACAATAGCAATACATCATCGACAGCGCTGTACATTGAAGTACCCATCGGGGCTAAGAATCGAACCATGCATCGAAAGAAGATCCTTATCGACACCGGATCCTCGCAGTCGTTTATCGATAAATACACATTATCAACAATGGACACACCGAATTCAAAATCAACGCACCGGCAAGTATTTCAAGTGGCAAATAACACGACCATGGAGAGTTCCGAGTACATTGAACTACAGCTGGTTATTGAACATATGATTACGAATGTGAAATGTTGGATCCTTAACGACATGTGCACGGGTATTATTGTTGGAACCGACTGGATGACAACATATGCTGCATCCCCCAGTTATGCAACACGATCTGTTGCCATTACCCTCAACGGCAAACAATACAGCACACCAATGCTGAGAAGATTACGACAGCAAGAATATCAAGCTCGAACATGTAATCGCATCGTACTGAAGCCAAATGAGGAGCGTGCAGTTCGAATTTACACTCGTCGCCGAACGTTCTCGACTGACACAGCCATGTTCATGCCATCAATAAAACTACGATATGAAACATCCCAACTATTGCCATATGCACTTTTGGCTGTGTGCCATGGGAAAACAGTCATTACGATTTACAACACCTCAAACAAGAACTACGTGATCCATCGAAACACGACGGTCGGCACGCTCACCGAAGTATTACCATCCAAAACATGTTTCGCTATGACTTCATCTGTCCAACCAAAACAGCACCAAAACTTGAACGTATCCCAGCCATTGACAAGCGAGGTTCAAGCAATAATTGAGACAACCATTGAACATTTAAGTGACGAACGAAAACGAACCAGTCGTCCCATTTTGCAGAAATATTGTGGACTATTTGATTTATCCAAAACACGGATCGCGAAAACACATATTCACCATCCAATCCAAACTGGTAACCATCAAGCAGTCATGTCACGTCCGTATACGACCTCATTGACAAAACAACAACTGATCCACACTCAAATTCAGACATTGTACAAATCCGGTCTTATTCGTCCGTCTACATCAGCATGGGCATCACCGGTGGTTCTCGTCACCAAAAAGGATGGTAAACCCCGCTTTTGCGTTGATTATCGGAAAATAAACCAGTTAACCACACGTGACGCATTTCCACTACCAAACATGGAAGAAACAATTAATCGGTTGGGGGATGCAGCATTTTTCACGAAACTCGACTTAAAGTCTGGCTATTTTCAGATACCGATTCGAGAAGAAGATAAAGCCAAAACCGCTTTCATTACACAGGATGGCTTATGGGAGTGGAACGTGCTCCCACAGGGCCTCAAGAATGCTCCTCCATCCTTCCAACGTATCATGAATAATCTTGTCGCCAATGGGCGCTGGCAATACTGCCTCGTGTATCTAGACGATATTATCGTGTTTTCAAAAACATTTGACGAACATATCGAACATTTACACAACATTTTACAAGTCCTTGATCGCGCTAATTTTCAATTAAATCCGTCTAAATGTTCATTCATCAAGAACGAAATCGATTACTTGGGACATACAATCAACAGCAAAGGTATCAAACCGTTGAAAACCAACATCCAAACCATCATAGACATACCCACTCCGACAACCTCAAAACATGTGAAATCATTTCTACAAACTGTAAATTTCTATCGCAAATTTATTCCTAAGTACACCGAATTGACCAAATTATTGCGTCCATTCATGCAAGACAAGTATAAATTTAAACAAAACTGGGGAAACGCCGAACAACAAGCGTGGCAACATTTAAAAACTGTGCTTACGACCCCGCCGGTCTTTCTCAATTTTCCTGATGGTGCCTCACCCTATATTTTGTCGACTGACGCATCGAAAATCGGCATTGGCGCAGCACTGAAACAGCGAACATCCGCTGGTTTAAAACCAATTGTCTATATTTCCAGGACGCTGACGGGCGCTGAAAAGAATTATTCAACATTCGAACGAGAATGCCTGGCAATTGTCTGGTCCGTACTAAAGTTGAAACAATATCTGGCCGATCAAGAATTTGTCATCGAAACAGATCATCGCCCACTGGCCAACATTCATCAGAAAACAACAACAAACAATCGGGTCAATCGCTGGAACATCGCATTGCAAGGATACAACATTGTGAAGATCATTCACAAACCGGGCACATGCAATTGTGATGCCGACTTAACATCGAGACACCCACTGTTGGTATGCGAATCCGATGAGGCCATCAACGAGGAACTGGATGGTATTGTTGCACCAATTACAACTTATGAGAAACCATGCAAAACTATAGCATCCTCACCAACTGCAACACTGGATGGAAAAGAAACCAGTCAAGGCATTCGCCGAAGCCGCCGTCTAGCTGCGAAACAATCAAATCCGTCACCGTCACCAAACATCACAACAACAGACATCCCCTCGCCCAAACAATCGCCTCTTGATCCGGACCGAATAAAAGCTGAACAAGACAAGGACCAGTCTATGCAAAGGCTAATTCACGCTGTACAACTGAACCAACGGAACGATATGGTTATTCAACACGGAATTTTAAAGAAAATTATCGTGCGGAATGGCCGGCAAGTTGTACTCCCGTTCATTCCAAAATCGTTGATTAAGGATGTATTGTTCTCCTTCCACGATGACATAACGGCTGCACATTTTGGCCGAGATAAAACATGGGAAAAAATAAAAACCCGCTGTTATTGGAAAAATCAAAAAGATTCTGTGTCCGAATACGTTAAGTCTTGCGTGAAATGCGCCACATTCAATATTCGTCGGCAAAAAGCCTCAGGTCACATGGAATTGATTGAGTGTCCCGAGGGTGTATTTAACCTTGTAGAAATTGATTTTGCAGGTAAATATACAAGAACAGTGAATGAGAATCAATATATCATTGTCTTAACCG